GAGTGGGAGCGATGGTTACAGACGAAAAGGTTAGAAATGATAAATTCAACGGCACAAATTTTGGATTTTGGAAGATGCAGATTGAAGACTATTTGTATAAGAAAAAACTGTATGAGCTCCTTTTAGGGACAAAACCAGAAAAGATGAAGGATGATGAGTGGACTCTTCTTGATCGCCAAGCACTAAGTATAATTCTCATAACATTGCGTTTAACATAGCGAAGGAGAAGACTGCAGCGGGTCTCATGGAGGCACTCTCAAACATGTACAAAAAAACCCTCTGCCTCAAATAAAGTTTATTTGATGTGTAGATTGTTTAATCTGAGGATGACAGAAGGTGCCTCGGTGGCTGAACGAATTCAATATTGTGGTAACACAATTGAGTTATGTATTTATCGAATTTGATGATGAGGTTAGGGCTTTGGTTCTTCTATCTAGTTTGCTAGAAAGTTGGAATAGTATTATAATGGCAGTGAGTAATTCTTCGGAAAAAGAAAAGTTGAATCACTATGATATTCAAGATTTAATTCTGAGTGAAGAAATTCGCAAGAGGGACTTAGAGGAAACATCAGGTTAATACAGAAGCCAGAGGAAGATCAGGAGAAAGAAACCCAAACAGCAACAAATCAAAATCTAAACACAGAAGCAAGTCAAGAACTGGAGAGGGACGAAGTTGCTGGAACTGCGGAAAGAATGGACATCTAAAAGGAGATTGCCCGACATTAAATAAGAACAAAGGTGATCAAAATCAGAAGTCTGCTAATGTTACAATGGAGGAGATTTATGATGCTTTGATCTTGAGTGTTGACAGCCTTCTTAAATCTTGGATTTTAGATTTTAGATTTTGGGGCATCATTCCATTCTACTTCACAAAGGAAATCATAGACAATTACAGTGGTGGTGATTTCAGGAAGGTTTATCTGGCTGATGATGAACCTTTGAATATTGTGGATAAAGGGAATGTAACAATCAAGTTGCCAAACAGATCTGTTTAGAAGATACAGAATGTCAGACATGTGCTTGCTTTGAAAAGAAACTTGATTTCTGTTGGACAACTTAATAATGAAGGTCATGTTGTAACCTTCATGGGTGGTTTGTAGTAAATCACTAAAGGAGCCATGATTGTTGTTCGTGGTCAAAAAGAAGGCACCATTTACATGACTACGAACAATAGAGATGCAGTAGCAATTGTTTTTGAGGAGGAAGTCTCAAATCTGTGGCACCATAGACTTGGGCATATGAGTTAAAAAAGCATGAAGATACTTGCGTCTAAGGAGAAATTGTCAGATTTGAAATCGATGGACATTGAGTTTTGTGAGGATTACATCTTCAGCAAACAAAAGAGGGTCAGTTTTTAAAGGATGATAGGAAACCGAAGTCAGAAAGGTTGGAGTTGGTTCATACAGATGTGTGGAGACCTGCACCAGTTTCATCTCTTAGAGGATCATCATACTATGGTACTTTTATCAACGACTCAACGAGAAAAGTATGGGCTTATTTTCTGAAACATAAATCTGAAGTTTATACTACTTTTAAGAAGTGGAAAGTCTTGGTGAAGACTGAAACGAATCTGAAAATTAAGTGTTTGAGATCAGATAATGAAGGAGAATATGAAAACAATGAGTTTAAGAAATATTGTGTAGAAAGTGGAATTAGAATGGAGAAGACTATTTGAAAGACACCTCAACAGAATGACGTTGCAGAACGCATGAATAGAACTCTAAATGAATGTGCTAGAAGTATGAGGATACATGCTGGATTACCAAAGATGTTTTAGGCAAATGTAGTTAAAACTGCAGCATATCTGATTAACCGTGGTCCATCTGTTCATTGAATGAAGAGTTACCAGAAGAAGCTTGGAGTGGAGGTAGATATTTCTTTTTTGAAGATATTTGGCTGTGTTTCATATGTGCATATAGATTCTGTTGATAGAAGTAAACTTGATCCAAAATTTGTTAAATGTACTTTTATTGAGTATGACATTGATCAATTTGGTTATCGATTTTTGGATGATAAAAATCAAAAAATAATCAGAAGTAGAGATGTCATATTTAATGAGAAAGTAATGTATAAAGATAGGGAAAAGTTTGCATCTGAATCTGAATATGTTACTTGTCATGAGCATGTTGAGTTAGAGGAGATTAGTGAGAGTGATTTGAATAGTTGGATTCAGAATAATCCTGAAAATCTTATTCCACTAACTGAACCTCATACTTCTACTCCTAAGTTGAGACGATCAGAAAGAGAGTCTAAACCTACACAGTGTTGGTCTTCATATTTACATTATTTGTTGATGTTTGATGGGGGTGAACCTGAAAGTTATGATGAGGTTTTGCAAGTGGATGATTCAATTAAGTGGGAGTCAGCTACGAAGGATGAAATGGATTTACTCATGGCAAACCAAACATGGGAGTTGACTGAATTACCAATGGGTAAGAAAGCTTTGCACAACAAGTGGGTTTACAGGGTCAAACAGGAACATGATGGGAGTACACGCTACAAGGCCAAATTGGTGCAAAGGGATTTCAGCAAAAGGAAGGGGTTGACTACACAAAAATTTGCTCTCCAGTTGTGAAGTTGACCATTATCAGATTGGTGCTAGGAATTGTGGCTGCTGAAGATTTGTATCTTGAGCAGATGGATGTGAAAAAGGTTTTTCTCCATGGTGATTTGGAGGAGGAAATTTACATGAAGCAACCACAAGGTTTCTTGGCAAGTGGCAAAGAAAAGTTTGTATGCAAACTTTGAAAAAGCTTGTATGGTTTGAAACAAGCCCCAAGATAGTGGTACAAGAAGTTTGATGGGTTTATGTGTAGAAGCGGTTTTACAAGATATCAAGCAGATCATTGCTGCTATTTCAAGAGGTTTGACAAAAGTTATATTATTTTGCTCTTATATGTTGATGATGTGCTTATTGTAGGATCTAGCATTGAAGAGATAAAAAGATTGAAGAAACTTTTGTCCAACCAATTTGAGATGAAGGATCTTGGAGTTGCAAACAAAATCCTTGGTATAAGGATTCACAGGGACAAGGCAAATGGTACTTTGAAGCTGTCGCATGCTGAGTATGTCAAGAAAGTTCTCAAGAGGTTTATCATGGATGGTGCAAAACTAGTGAACACTCCATTGGCTAACCACTTCAGACTTATCAAAGAGTAGTCTCCAAAGATCAAAGAAGAGCAGGCTTGGAATGTGTTCCATATGCTTCAGCTATTGGTAGCATAATGTATGCTATGGTTTGTACTAGACTAGACATTGCACATGCAGTGAGAGTAGTTAGTAGGTACATGAGTAATCTAAAATGAGTGGGAGCCATGAGAGTGAAAGTTCAAAGTCAGTATCAACAGCCAAAAATCAGGATGAACTCTGCCAAAAACCTTCATAATTTTTTCCACCTACATCATACTCGGAGCAATATTCTGTACAAACCTCGTAAGGTTTTAAATGCTAATGAGATTTCAAAAATTTTGTCATTCCATTTCAAATGGAGTAATAGATCCAAAACCATGCATGGTGGCAAATGTTTGATTGATTATAATCATTATCAATTCAACACAGGAAGTCCCAAAATTTGTAATAAAATTCTAAGGAGCATTCAGAATTTTGGGACAAGGGAATGATTGGTAAGAGATATAGGGAAGCTGGAGGACATTTGGTAAAAAAATCACCCACACACTCTCTCACTTTGCTCTCAATTCTTTCTAAGTCTCTTCTTCCTCTCCATGTACTTAACTAACTTGATCGTCGGAGGGTCCTCAGGAGGGAACCACTCGTACTTTGGAACCTTCCTGTTGGACTTATTGCAGGTGTTGTTGGGAAGACGAAGGTCAGTCGACTCGTGGAGCATTTGGATCCTGTCCAACCCATCTTCTACTGACCAAACTGCATCATCACATGATAAGTTTGTCATGCATAACTTTTAATACAAATTAACATAACACAAATCACAAATGTTGAAAACTTTCCCCATAAAAGTAGTAAATTTTTTTTAATGTGCCTTTTTAAGTAAAAATGATTTAGTAGGTGTTCATATGCTCGACCAATGATAAGTTATAATTTATTCACTATTTTCTTGTAATTAGGATAATATATTCTTGTAACACTGCTGGAATTTAGGCTTTTAGCGGCGTTTAAAAAACGCCGCTATAGGTACCAAAAACGTCGCCAATACTTTTTGTGACGTTTAATACCAAACGCCGATGACGCGGCCGTCGCTATAACTTTATGGCGTTTGGAAAACGTCGCTGTATTAGTATAGGCGGCGTTTTTAAAAACGCCGCCAAATGCCCTGCCCTAACAATACTGTGACGTCAGTATGCTTTTAGCGACGTTTTTAAAACGCCTTCATAGGTTTTTTTAATTTTAAAAATTCCAACCGTTATAGTGGCATTTGAAAAACGCCGTCTTATCTTTCTTTTTTTTTTTTTGGTTTTGAAATTGTGCTAATTTTATGTGATTGAACTAAAAGAACACCAATAATAAAACTAAATAACACTAATATGAAATAATAACTCCCATTCAAATAACAAATATAGTATTAATTCACTTTCCGATTCAATTTAATATAGCATTAATTTTTTCACAAAATAACATTCAAAAATTGAATTCACAATTCTCAATTAAAAAATTACTACCTTATATACAAAGCCACAAAAGTTAAATCCAATTGAAACATAAAACCAATAAGTACCTTAAAAATGTCTTGGCTTCGAATTTTGGAAGATACATTACAGGGATTTAAAATTATTAGAGAAACTTACTAGAAAAGGCTTATGCCGATGACTATGAATGGCAATATATTAGCTAGAACAACCACAACTAGCTGAGTCCTAATTAATGAATTAGGAATCATTTAGATTATCTAAGGCAATGGCAAATCATTCGTATGCTTATATTAATGTTTCTCCTACGTAAAACATTTTCGGAAAGTGTTAAAAAAAGAATAAAGAACAGGAAATAAACTCGGCCGAAGTTCTGGGTTTTCTCCGCAGCATGCTTTTGATGAGGGCCTGACTGGAAAACAAAAATAGAGCAAGGATTAGATTAAGACACTAATTAAAGGCCACAATATACAAATAAGAACACAATTCCTCACGAGGAAAAATCTAAATTTTCATAGGCATCAAAAATATGCCAAGTTGCAACTTGCATTCATGATTGCATTATAACTTATATATGTATTTATGTGACATTTGTGTATACACTTACCCAAGGACCAAATGTCTGACTTAGAGCCATAAGGTATGTCAGCAAGAAGCTCAGGGCACATATAACTTGGAGTTCCTACAACCTGAGTTACGAAAAAGAAATCTTGAACAATAAAACTAATGCAAATGTTGAAACTTGAAAAATGAACCAGTTAACCACAAGACTTACAGAGGATGCAAGATCATCTGATGGCAACATCTTAGCAAGTCCAAAATCACCTGCAACAGGATTAATCAATGGTGATTCAGCAAAATACTGACACCTCTCAAGACTATTAAAGAAAGAAAACATATCACTTACCAAGACGTATGTCTTGATCTTTTGCCAAGAATATATTTGAACACCGCAAGAACAAGACTGTCAGTAACATGCAATTTCAGAAATTTCAGAAGGATAATTCATAAATCCTCTAGTATACAGATAGATGCAACTTACCTTAACATCTCGATGAAGAATATGATTCACATGTAAGTAGTCAAGAGCCATAAGCAATTGAACAAGCTATTTACACAGCTTCTATAAACAATTTAACATCAATGTATCAGTGAACAAAGAAATTGTGAGCTGATACAAATTGAAAACTGCAGAGGTGGGAGGTAGAATGCAGTACAATCTAGATTGCGACAACAGAAAAGAAAACGAAACAATATAAATGTGATGCTAAGATACTAGAAATATAAAACAACCTCATCGGAAAAAAGAACACCATTTGCTTTCTTTATAGCTTCTGCCCTGTAAAAGACAAAGTAGCAAAAAAGATGACATCATAGATTGCATGTAAAGTTTCAGCCCAAGTAAATGGATTAAGCCAAGTATTGCAGTTTTAGCCAGAAAAGTCACTCACATGCCTCAGAAGCTCCTGGTGCCTGCAAGCAGCAGTTAAATCATCAAACAGTACAACTTAGATGGCATTGACATCGACTATGAACACTTCAACAACACCGATCCAAACACCTTTGCAGAGTGCATTGGACAGCTTATAACCAAAATGAAAGAAAATGGACTCATCTCTTTTGCTTCTATAGCTCCATTTGATGATGATCAAGTTCAGAGTCATTACTTGGCCTTGTGGAAGAGCTATGGCAATCTCATTGACTGTCAATTTCCAATTTTATGCTTATGATCAGAGTACCAATGTTTCTCAGTTTATGGCCTATTTTCAGACTCAGAGCTCTAATTACAATGGAGGGAAGGTCTTGGTGAGCTTCATCAGTGATGGAAGCGGTGGGTTGTCACCGGAAAATGGTTTTTTTTCCGCTTGCAGTAGGCTCAAGAATCAGCAAGAACTTCATGGGATTTTTGTTTGGTGTGCTGATGAGTCCAAGGCAAAAGGATTAGGATTTAGCTATGAGAAGCAATCACAGGCATTGTTAGCCAATTAGTATGTATTTACTACCATTGAAATGGGTTGTGTGGCCTAGTCAGCTCCAAATATGTGAAAAATGGTCTGGCGTTGTATGGTTTCGATGCAAGTGATGATGTTCTGTAATTTCTCTTATGTACTGTTTCATTGTCCAACTGTCCACTAGCAAAAATTTGGTTCACTTTGCACCTGTGTATTTTAACTGTCCCAATTAACTCCCTACATTTCAAGTCAATTAGCAATTGGACATAGCCTATAATGTTCTTTCGGAGAATTGACAAAGGGATTGAAATAGAGGGACTAAAACATAATTCTGATAAAAGTATAAGGATATTTAGGATTAAAATGGATGGACTAAATTATATAAGAATAAAATAAACAAATAAACAGCAGTAAAGGACTTAGACTCACCCTGCTCCAACGTCCTAACCCTTGTTGTTTGGCTTGCTCTTCAAGGCGTAGCAGTTCCGCTAAGAAAGGACTAGCTTCTCCTTTCTGTTGACCCTGCTCCCTAACCTGCAAGCATCAGATTTAGCTAATGCCCATACATACAGAACAAATCCAACGTTGGAAATGTATGCACCAAAGAAAAAAGTGATATAACCTTTGCCCAGCCTCCAGCAACAACCATCAAGAAAAAAGTGATATATCAGTATATGCGGCGTTTTTAAAAACGCCGCTAAATGTGCTGCATAATTGTACAATGACGTCACTACTCATTTATCGACGTTTTAAAAACGCCGTGATAGGTCAATTTTATTTTCAAAATGTAACCGTTGGTATTCTATAGTGACGTTTAAAAACGCCGTTATAACTTCATTTTTTTAAAAAAACAAAAAAAAGTTGCTTATCGTTGTGGATGATCACAATATTAGTGGGATATGTTTGGTTTACATCCAACAAAAAAATTCCGTACTGTCATTATAACAATTACCAATGTTTTATTAGGCTCCAAAAGAGGAGTTTCTTATTACTTCTAATTATAGTCTAATCACCTACCTAGATATAGTAAATCAGTATGCATATTATCCTTCTAAGCACAGCTGTTATTCAATCAATTTTCACCATTATTATATAATAAATCACAGTGAAATTAATATTTAATGATGGAACGATGGGAGTAGAGAAGTGGCCTTCCTGTCTTATCTAATTGTTTTTGTTGTAATTGATGTCATCTGTCAAAGTTAGCAAAAAATCTACAGGAGGAGTTTTTTAGCCTGTTAAATAACATCAATCATACCTTGCTTCACAATTCACCTGTTCTCAATTGGAAAATCTCCCATGTAGGAATCGAGTTGCTTTCTGTCAGGATGACGAACTGTGATGTGATCATATCACTGGATTCCACTAAGTCATCCATAAATAACAAAAACGAATGTAAAGGAATATATGATATACTCTTAACTTCTCACTTTTAGATACCATGCCACAATCTTTACCATGTGTAACAGCAGCTCTGGCAAAGGAAACAGAAAAAAAAATTGATAAGAAAGAGGAACTATCTTCTGTAACATAAAAACAAACTTCAAGGCGAATTATATTTTATAAGCATTCATTAAAACCATAGGCAACAAACAACTCGTTACTTTGCCTTGTTTTCCTATAACTCTTTGGACACATTCCAATGCATTTTCCTGTGAAGGAATTATGACACAACAATGAGAAGATGCTTGTCTATATAACTTGATGCTACTTCCAGCGATCTTCAATCAATTACATAAATTACCTTGTGATAGGATCTAAGGTGCCGCATAACCAGCATTGCTTAACTCCGGGAATCCAGAAGGTCAAACCTCCCAAACTTGAATCTAATCAATAATCTAAACAACTTGATTGAAAACATTTTAATACTGTAGTCCATTTCAAACTGAACAAACAAAAGCCAAAGAAATACTTGTTTCTTGACCCCAAGGGCTCACTATCCAAAAGCAGGCTGTCAAGTAGTTTGAGTAGAGAACCTTCCCAGAACATCCTAAAATCTTGAACAGAACAGGTCACATTATACAAAGTAGTGAAAGCACTCACCGTGATTGTCATCCCCTTCAGTAACAGCACAGGTAATCATCTCACTGAAATGAATTCATAGAATCATTAGTGCAGGCAACATTTAACTTTAAAAGACACTACTACTATCTTCTTTGATCAACATCAATCTTATAGAATAGAACAGCTAGTAAAAAGTACATAATGCCCTGAATGATTAAATTCTGGTCTATAAAAGCAGCATTTTGAAATTAACTGGTTAATCAAACTACATCAGGTCTTTTCCAGCATGGATCCACCTACAACCAATATGTCTAACCAAATGATTCAAATCACTTCAAAACAAAAATTTTAATTTAAAAAAATAACTAGAAAATGCCATGTGATGATGACTACCCATCCTTGTATCACTCACTCCTATGAAAAGATGGTAAGGTTTGCAATCTAGCATAGAGTCCCAATTCAACTATAAAAATTAAATAATAAATAAATAAATACATGAATAAGAAACTAGCTAGAAAGATCACTTTGATATATTGTGAGGACAAAAATACAATTTCATTGCGAACGACATAGCATTGTGTGAATCTTCAATTTAGCATGATGGACATGATATAGATTAATTTAAATTTTAAAGAAAAAAATGCACTTGAAAATTCCCAACTTTTTAGTGTTAATGAGGCACTAGCACAGATATTCAAAAGTTTCTTAAGCGAATTATACTATTAAAGAATAGCATGAGTTGAAAAACATGTAGCATACGTTATCATGTCTTGGCAACGAGTGACAGTGCTGAGTATAGCCATACACTTCTGATCCAAAATCTTCAGGACTAGAAATCGAAAGACACAAGAAATCATGAAACAGGGTTATACTTAAAGATTCTTATGAGAATATCATATGTGATATACAACAAAAGGCAAAAAGGGATAAGAGAAAAACTTCACATATTTTGCAAGAACAATCCAAAAGTCAGCCGTAGAGCAATAGAAACTACAGCCTCAAAGGAGACCAAAAGTAAACAGTCACTCTCAGCTTCAAGGCTGCCAAAATGAGCTGTGTGCTGCAAGAATTTGTCTTAAAAGCGTAAAGCTTTATAATTTGCACGCTCTAAGATAATATCTGAGAAATTCAAAATAAATGGAGAAAATAACCCGTAAACTAATATGGTCTAAGGCTCTAACAGTTGAGACATCAAATACAGCTTTCCAAAATTTTCCAGAAAGTATTTCATTTAGGCCACAAAGGTGAATCCCATACATAAATGAAAGACAAAAAATTCAAATGTAAGCCTAACAAACAATCATGTGGGAATATTTTCATCCTGCACACACACAACACACACACACACACACACACACACACACACACAAAATACCAAACTGTAAAAAAAAAAATTAATAAATAATTTCCCTGCTTACATCCCTTATTGTGCAATTCGAAAAACAGAGAATTTCATCCTTCCCCAACGCCCAAAAAGAAAATAAAAGGCGGCTCCAAAGAACTCACTCCCATTCCAATCCAGAACTGAGTGGATCATTTCTGTTGTGCAACTGAGACCACATATGCGGAGCTTCGAATATCTAAATCTTCGATGGAAATCTCTGAATCTTCGACGGAGTTTCGAAATCGGTTCGATCTGGAGCTTCGATGGAGCTCCGAAATTCGTTGAAATTTTGTTGATATTCAAACATGAGTTTTGAGAAGCTTCAAGGGAAGAGTGACAAAAAGCTAAGCTAATTTTATCACTTTTCCATTCCCTTTTCCTTTACTTCCACAAATCCCTGCTCAAATCTAAGATCCAAACTCAGTGTAAAACATCTAAAAGAACTCTATAAGAAATTGTATTAATGTTCAATGAATCGCATCTTTGAGCAGTACACCATCTAGAACATGATTCAAAGGAGGTAGATTTGAGTAGCTGTAGGAAAACCCCAACACAAAAATGTAAGAGGACCTCTAATATTCATACTTAATTTCACAGCAAGTATTGCACTCATATCATCTGCAATCCGAAAATTCATTCCCAACTCCAAAACCTGCATTTAATGAATTTCAACTATTATTCTGGCTACGAAACAGATTATGACTAAGCTAATTTTATTCTGGCTACGAAAATTCATTCCCAACTCCAAAACCTGCGTTTAATGAATTTCAACTATTATTCTGGCTACGAAACAAATTATGACTAGAAGTAATACATTATTGACATAAATCCACCATGACTAAGACAGTATTACATACCAAGTGGTCGTCATCAGTGGTTTGATGAAGAACCCTCATTTCTGTGAACACAGGAGGTGATCGTCCCATATATAGATGTTGAACCAGAAAAATGGAACAAGGACAGCAATTAATCGTATTTAGGAGGGTAGACTCGTACCAAAGTCCATGGTTTGTACTTCTCCAAGAACCAAGGTATGCTAGGGAGGAGAATTTTCTGTGAAACAATGGGCTCCATACAAACAGGCCAAATCTTTTCAACCACATGGTGAATGATTAAGGAAATGGGACAATGATGACTTATGATTAAGGTAGGTGACTTGGTTTTCTCTTTGTGAGGGGTGTGAAAGAAGGTTGTTGCTACTAAGTTATGTTTGATTCTCAAGAAAAGGCAAGAAAAAAAGAAAAAAAAAAAAAAATGTGAAATCATTTGATTTTTGCTTGTTCACTTTAGGGATATTGGCAACAAAGTGGCAATCCCTTGTTCAGAAAGCTTCATTTCTAAGGCAATATGATCTTTGTTTCATATACTAAACATCTTGAGAAAAGCTCAAAGCAAAGACCAATGTGTGATGATTGTTTCCAAAATCAAAATGACAGCAAAACACTAAAGCAAGAAACTTATATAGCATAAAGGTTAGCCACACATAAACCCATAAATTCTATGACGATGTTTCACTAAGCCAATAGTCAAAAGATCTTTTGGAGTCTTACCATATTCCTTCTAGGATGCTGAAGTGGTGATTTTGCAGACAAAGATGAGGAATCACAACCAGCCTTTGCTTTATTTGAAGAACTTTTAGTATTTTTAAAGGGGTCTTGTATTCTTGCACTCTTTTGAACAATATATATCTGCAGAAAAAATAAGTTACAGATCACAGAGAGACACATCAATTTCATTTATTACAAATAAACATTAAACAAATTATTACAGATTCAATGCCTTTAAAAATTAATACTGTTACAATAATAACCTGGTTAGCCAATCTAATTATTCTTTGAACAAATCCATTTTTTTCTGATGCGGGCAACAAATTTGATTCAACAAACGGTCTAGTATGACCAGCAAAAATTGACGTATACCTGTTTGACCAATCTGATTATGCTTTGAGTGGCTTGTACTGAGCACATTATTCTTATTGGATTTAGGAAGTGAATGAGCACCTGACCTTGAAGCAGGTATTTCATTTTTCCGACTCAACTCTGCAACGAAAGTGTAGTGTTTTTCTGCGATCGATCTATACAATTAAAATCAATTAAAGTTTCACTTCTTTCTCGAGAACCGAGATTAAAACTAGAAACTCTCAACCGAAACTCAAAAAAGAAAAAAAAAAGAGTTGAAAAGTAGTAAAATTATGAACACGTGAGAAAGGAGAAGAAAGAAGAGCGATGAATTGAGAAAATGTAGAGAGGACATAATCGAATCAAAAGAATACAGACTCACGAATACCTGGATCAAAGCATTGCACTGTTTACGAATGCCTATGAACTACATAATGCCTATGAGAATTGCACTGTTTAGAGCTGAATAAACTTAGAAAATGAATAAATTTACTCGTCCATAACTGGTAAAAAAGGTTATCCCTAATCAAAGCATGGGAAGAAAGTGAGAAGTCAAAAGCAGAGAACAACTAAGATTTTTTTCAAATATATGATGTTATTTCAGAGGTAATGAGAAGTTTTCTCAGCAACCAAACAAAGGATCGAAAGCACAATCTAGAGTTCTGAGATTGTAGAGCTCTGAGATTGTAAAACAAAGGACCGAAAGCACTAACCTCTGATTGAAGAGATGAAGAGTTCCAAATCGAACTTCGAAATCACGGAGCTGAAGCAGATTTTGAAGGATTCGATTGGTTTTTCTGAGATTGTAGACGGCGGTGCTCAAAATCGAACTTCGAAATTGCAATCGCTCTGAGAAACTACGAGATTGAAGCCATACGGTTGCAGATAGGTTGGGTCTGAGAAACTTAGAAATCGCAATCGCTCTGAAGAAGAATCGAGAGAGAGCAAGAGAGTGAGAGATTTGAGTGAGTGATAACTTCGAACTTGACGGCGGTGGGTTTTCAAAATAAAGGTGTGGAGAGACAAAATAGGGTTCGTCATTTGGAGGCGCTTCCAAGCGTCTTCTATTCATAAAACGGGGCCGTTTTGATTAACAACAAAAGCGACGTTTTAAAAACGCCGTTAATTATTTAAAACAGTGACGTTTCATAAAACGTCGTTAATTAAACGCCGTAAAATCTCTAATTTCCTGTAGTGACGGAGGCTGAGTCTGATTATTCTATTTTAAAATTGTATTTGATTCATGAATTTAAATAGAGGTTTGAAAATAGAAAGGAAAATGAAAATATGTGTGAAATGTAAGTGAAATGTAGTTATATTTTATTCACATTTTACTTATATTTTCTCTTTTTCTTTACAAATTTTTTCTCAAATCCATAAATCAAACACAACATAAGACTATTTGGATGCTGCTGTTTTTCTTTAATTAAATTCCATGAACAAAACAAGTCGTGTCCTAAGTTTAAATGCTTCAGTTTCCTTGGCTATTGTTCAAATACTAAGATTGTGTTTTGAATAATAAATTTAGGCAGGAATCTTGAAATGGAAAAGAAAAAAGGTGAGGACAATGTCAATAAAGTATAAGTTAATTTTTTCTTCATTTGTTCTTTTCTTTATCTTTTCAAATTCTTATCTAAATTCATAATAACACAGCGTAGAAGATACTAATGATTTAATATTTTAAATGTTGACTTACCAAGAAAGATTTTAACCGTTGTTGGGTATCTTACATTATGCAAGTATTTTATAGGACCAGAAATATCATTTTGACCCCAAATTATCACTCAAAAAATAACTTAACCTCTATTCTTTTAATAATATTAATTAATTTTGAATCAATTTTACTGCCACCGTTAATTGCCGTCTATGACCATGAAAGTTGTTAATATGACACCAAAATTTCATTTTATTTCCAAACTATCCCCAAAACTCCAGAATAAAATGAAGGTTTGGGGTATAGTAACAATGTCACTAACACTAACACAGTTAAGTTCAATGAATTTGCAGTTTATTTTCAGAGACAATTATTTTGCCGACTTTGGAAAACTTTCTATCACAGACATAAATGGATCAATAGAGATGTGGCACAACCAACTTGAAGTTGACCTCCTTGACAAAGTGAGAATCATGTTGGTCCAATGTTGTGAGAAATTATCAAATGTGATCTCGTTGAATTTAATGCAAAGACTACGAGGTCTACAACGGCTGAAGGTATGGTGGTGTGATTCACTGGAAACAATATTGAAGAATGGAATTTTTAATTTCATGTCATCTTCCTATACCTTTAATTTCATGCTGTTAATGAAATTTTTCTTTGCTGATCAAAAAAATATATATATTTGACCTCCAAGGGTTGATATGCGCTAGTACTACTGTTGTGGGACGAACATCAATCGTTCAGTTAAGATATTTGAAATTGATGGATTTGCCCAAGTTGACGCATATATGGAAGAATGTTTCCCAACAAACTCATTGTTTCAAAAATCTAAAATCCCTAGAAGTGAAGAGCTGTGACAACTTGAGATCTATTCACAATTTCCATGGCCAAGGTCCTTGTGCGTCTAAATTATCTAAGAATTGGAAATTGCAAGAAAGTAGAAAAGATTGTTACCAGAGAAGAAGAAGAAGATGATCATGATGACGGTGACAACGATAACAACGACTTCAGTGTGGAACTTGAGGAAGAAGGTTATTATGATGATGATGACGACGACGATTATGACGATTTCAATGACTTCAGTGTGGAACTTGAAAATCTTCCGAGTCTCGTGTGTATTGGAATTCCAGAATCCCAAATCCGTATCTCCAAATTGCGTGTAGATTTCTGCCCCAAGTATTGAGGTAACCAATTATACTTCTACGCAACTATGCTTCTCTCAAGAAAGCAACTTCACTACCCTATATACCTACCACATCGACATTTCCCAAAATGTGAGTGGTTTAAGAAATAAAATTCTTTCCAACATTTTCTTAATCTATTAATCATAAAATAGTTGATCCAAAAGTCACAACTAGTGATAATGATTAATTGTTGAATGGAAAAAAGTGTTAGAGAGAATTCAAATCCGCAATTTAGCCGTTGTCATCCATGGTTCAGTTACATCCAATCAGACCTGTTGGCATCATTTAACATAAAACATTTGATGATTGAAGCTAGCACCTTGAGAAACCACTCTCATTTTGTTTTTCCTAAGGGCAAATTATGTTAGTAGTCCCAATATTTTGATCTTTGTGTTATTTTTATCTCTGTTATTTTAATTAGCTCGATTTTAATTCTAAATTTATGATTTTTTCTCAATTTAGTCCAATTGCTTACAATTGTTAGTATTTTAATAAAAAAAATACACATATAAGTGACATGCCATGCTTTTAGAGTTAAAATTATAAATGTACTCAACTCAGTGAGTTAACCTCAAGTAATTTAGTGATCATTCTTCGTCAAAAATACAAACGTCGTTATCAATTGGATTAAACTGACAGAAAGTTTAAAATTAAGGGAAAATTGAGTCAATTGAATGTATAGAGATCAAAATGATTTAAAATATTTTAATCATTAAACTTAATGTAAGTGTACATAAAATGTCTAAAATGTTATTGAGTTTAACGATTAAAATGTTATTTTTCCATCAATTTTATATAACAAAAATAGATAAATAATTTAAATTGAAAATAAATAAAAAATTGAAGATTTAAATTAAAAAAAATTAAAAACTTGATTTATTTTGTTAGAAGGGTCAATTTTTTTTTTTTAATTTTTGTTGTTGTTGTTGTCGTTGTAATTTCTCATTTTTTGTTTCCTAAAAAAGTTTCAACTATTTTTAGTTGTAACTAAAAATGGCTCTAGACCTTAGTATTAGCATTAAAAACACCATCACACGAACCATAACCTCAATGATCATCTTGAGAAATCCCAAACTGGCTCTTTCCATAATCACTACTACTGTCGTTGCTATTACCATACCTCTCTGCCACCAAAGTTTCTTTGAGATTAATATTAATGTGGCATGAACCTATATATACAAGTGGTAGATGATCACCGTACGGATTTGATTACCTGTAGACAGTAATTGAGTTAAAGGGGATGGGGATTAGGATTGATAATATGTAAACTGGGAGGATGGATGGGCCAGATTGATCCACACTTCAAATAAGTCTGTTGGGCTTATAGTTCGTAGAATACACCTGCAAAAACAGTCCAATGAGGGGAAGTCCCCTGGCTGACGCTTCGACGATCAAGTTAGTTCAAGGCAAGGAGGTTTTTCTAGAGAGATAATGTATGAAAAGTGTGTGAGAAAATTTAACCTATGTTGTTCTTTTGAAGCGTTTTATCTTTTTTATTCATCATTTCCTTGTTCCTTCCCAACTGTCTCGTCGGCCGTAAGTCTAAGGTTTAGCTGACCTCGTTCACGGTAAGCCTGTTTTCTTCAACGTGAAGGGGCTGCCGTATTTAATGCTACCGGGGTCTCATTAATGGCTGATGTATGGGTGAAATAACTTTGTAGATCTTTGTCTGCTTACGTGGCTGGTTCCCTACTTGACAAGTGTTTAGATGCCATTGGTCCCTGGTTCAACATTGGGTTCTCAAGGATGTTGGGCTTTAGTACTTGGACCGTGAATTGGGCTCTAAGTTGTGGGCCAAAACCTTTTGTGGGCCCACCGATGTCAGTAGTCCCTCATTCCCAAGTACAGCTTTAGTCCAACAAAGGAAATAAGAAGTAAAATGGGAAGGGTCCTCCTAAGCCAAGAGGATGACCGGCCGTGGAGGTGGCCGAGCTGGTGGATCGACCGAGAGGAGGGCCTATCGTGAAGGGGACCGAGCGAGAGGACCGACCGTGAGGAGGACTGACTGTAAAGGGGGCCGAGCGAGAGAACCGACCATAAGGAGGACCGACTGCGAAGGGGTGGTTGAGCGAGAGGATCAGAGGTCCAACCGTAAAGAGAGCCGACCATGAGGAGGGCCAAAGAGGTAGTGACGGGGCACGGGACTCAAGGAGCGATGAGGCACGTGATGATATGAAGTGGAATAGACGGGGGAGAAGAAGAGGGCGATGAATCGTGGCTGTACATGTGGGGTGATCTAAACTAGTGGTGAGGTAGGAAGCGAAAGGTTAGGGTTAGGATAAGATGTGGAAAAGGTTGGGGGTTGTAATTTTTGAAATTTTCAGACTAGCGAGTTTTAACCTTGATCCTTGGAAAATAGGTAAACCGTGGGTATTTGGAGTTATCCGTTTTATATATCTCATTGTGAGAAACCAACACATCCCATACCTGACCTCATTCATTTCGTGTGATGCTCCCTTTCAACAGATTGCGAACTTCCTCGTGCCTGCGTCTGAAGCAATATACAGAAACGTAAAAGAGATGGCTAGAGAGGAAACATCAGCCATGGGGTTAGAGGTGCTAGGTGAGGATGATGCGGTGGAGTTAGCGGAGCAATATAGGACGGAGATGCGGAAAGAGAGAGGGACGGAGCAAGTGGCGTGACCCCGTTCGTCCACTATGATCGTGGCGGTGTGGCCGATTAGCCATATAGGACCTGATCATTGGCACACCAAGGCTGACAAATCGACGTTTACGGTAGAAGAGTTGGAGGAGGTGCGTAAGTAATACTAGATTCCAGCGGAGGTAGAGTTGAAGCTGCCGACGGCAAAGGGGAGGGCGTCGGATGCACGTCCGATGAAGTTTACACTATATGAGGAGGCGTTGCGGGAGGGTCTGAGGTTGCCACTCCCACAAATAGTGGTAGATGTATTGAACTGGTTGGAGGTGGCGCCATGTCAACTTATGCCTAATGCATGGAAAATATTATTGGCCTGTTCGATCGCATGGCTACGGGCGACCGGGGGAGTAGCGATGATTGTGGATGAGTTCTTTTCCTGTTATAAGGCCTCAGGTCAACAAGAAACATGGGTGATCCTGCAGGCGGTGACAGGTAAAGGATTAGTGGCAGGTTTGCCGTTGTCGGTAAAGGGATGGAGACCAAGGTGGTTTTATGTATCGGCGAATGGCGGGAGAGGGGTGCGTATAATGTGGAAAATTCCCATTAAGTCGGTGGAGCCAAGGCTGGAGGCAGAGGCAGAGAAGAGGGTTAAACGAGTGAAGGAATAGAGGGAGAAGGAGGGTTTAAAGTGGGATGACCTTATCCAGCTTTCAACCTTATTTGCCTTGAATCTGGGGCCACAGCCGATCGAGGAGAGCCCTGCATCAGAAGAGTTAGAGGCGAGGAGGAAAATGTAAGAGGCAGAGGACAAAAAGACATTCGCTAAGGCAGATAAGTATAAAGAATCGAAGTTAGGCTGTGTGCCTAAGGTGGCCATGAAGGAACCAGTCCGACCACGCCCCAAGCCTCTGGGAGACAAGGACTTGATTGATTTTTTGCGGCTGCTACCGCCAGTGGATCCACTGAGGGAGAGAAGTAAAAAGGAGGTGGATGCGGTGTTGAAGAAAAAGAAGAAAATAAGGGCGGCTGCGGAAGGGAGTGAGGGAGGGCTAGTGTTGAAGAAGGCGAAGGAGCGGATGGCGGAGGTATCCCTAGAGGTAGAGGTGGGGGAGACCAAGATTGGGGTGGGAGAGCCTAAGTGGCCAAGTGGTGAGTGGAACAGCCAAGCAAGGACAGTTGGCAGGAGGTGAACGGTTGGAAAACCAATCGTCCAAAGATGTGCTTGTACAAGAAGTGTCCCCAAGTCTGGGGGTAGGAAAGGGACGAGTGAGCAGAGCGGAGACGAGCGTCACGTTGGAGACCGCCATGTATCATGTTCGTGTGGTCACCGATCATTCGGCGAGAGAAGGGGGCGAAGCTAGGGTCGTCGCAGATTGTCTCTTGGGGATTGTGGAGGATGCAACCGTGCCGAGGATGACACAATTTACAGAGGCTGACCTCCTGAGAGGGTTCTGTTCAGCGCAGATGGAAGCAATGACCATGGCAGCGGCTCTATTGAATAAAGCAGCATGGGCAAAGGTGGATGGAGAGCCGCTGAAGGCCCAGCTGGAAGAGGTGAAGGCATAATTGCAAAACTTAAGGGTGGAGACAACGTACTGGAGAAAAGCAGTGCGGAGTGCTTGTGCAAAGGGCTTGGACTATGCGTAAAGGGCAAAAAACATGGAAGTATTGGCAGTGGTGCAAAGTTACTTGGCAAAACGCGCCAGAGTAGGTCAGACTGAGGTCATCGCGGAGCTGTCGGTCACCAAGTTAGCACTTGAGGTGGTACGCCATAAGGTGGTATCACTAGAGTGTGAGTTGACAAGTGCACAGAAGAAGTTGGGAGAGGTCTAAGAAGCCTGCGACACTGCGAGAGATTGGAAGAGGCCCTGTCAAATAATGAAGATCTACGCGATCAGGCCTTGAAAGACAAAGAAAAGACAGATGCGCGTGTGGTTGGACTGGAGAGGGCCCTGGCAGAAAAGAGGGTCAGGACTGAGGAGTTAACCAGGAAGATGGCGTCTGAGAAGGTAGCCTATCCAGACCGGTGTATGGCAGTGGTGGAGCAGTTTAAGGCGTCTCCTAAGTTCCAGATGGCCATTGATGCGGCAGTGGCGAGAGGCCTGGCTAAAGAGGGAGAAGGTGGTGCTGGCCCATTAGGAGTGGCTGCTGCTGGGAGAACTGAAGAAGAAGTGATCCAGAGTTTTCAACAATCAGACTTCTATAAGCATGAGATGAGCCAGTACTGGGACAGTGGCTGGATGAGCTTCAAATATAAGGTGCATGAGCTGTTCCCAGATGTGGACTTCAGTCAGGTGAAAGTAGGGGAGGATGATATCACCCAGACTCCCCTGGATGAGGGGGTGGAAGAGGAAGACCTGGCGTCCAGCGATGGAGAGTGAGGGCTGGGTGTTTTTCCTTTGTTTGTGTTGTTATTGTTTTCATTTGTTTTTTATTTTTGTTTTTGCTTTTGTTTTGTTTTGTTTTTGTTTTTTTTGGTGTGTAGAGATGTAATTTGTGTACAGTTCTGCAAGGTGTTAATGAAGTAAAAACTGGGTTAGCTCTTTTTATGTTTGTATTGTGTGAGGATGATTGACACATCAAACCATTGAAAAGTAAGGAGATTGAAATTGCCCTGGACAAAAATGGGCTGAAATTTAACTTGGGTAAATAATAATTGCGTTGAACAAAAATGTTAATGATAATTGCGTTGAACAAAAATGGATGTGGAGATAATCAAGTATTGGAAATTTAATTTGGGTAAAAATAACATAGGAAAAAGGTTTAATTTAACCTGGCTGAGACTTTGAGGGTTCAGTCCGGTTGAAATTACGTTTAACTTAGTCTGGTTGAGCTCTTCGTATTCAGTTTGGCTGAGGCTTGAAGGGCTCAGTCTGGCTGAGACTACGTTTTACTCAGTCTGGTTGAGACTTGATTTTATTCAATCTGGCTGAGCTCTTCATGCTCAGTCTGGTTGAGGCTTGGAGGGGTTTAGTCCGACTGAGATTACGTTTAACTCAGTTTGGCTAGGCTCTTCGTGCTCAGTCTGGCTGAGGCTTAGAGGGCTCAGTCTAGCTGAGACTAAGTTTTACTTAGTTTGGCTAAGCTCTTCATGCTTAGTCTGTGTGAGACTTGGTTTCACTCAGTCTGGCTGAGCTCTTCGTGCTTAGTCTAGGCTGAGGCTTGGAGGGCTCACACTACAACAAAACGGTACTTTAATGACAAAATCACTTCGTCTCCAATAGTGAAATTTTCGTCACCAAATTGATCCGTGACGAAATAATTTCGTCACCACGTTCGTCATCAAATCGTCGTCACTAAAAGTACCTGATGACGAAAATTTATTTTGTCACCTATTATTGGTATTTGGTGACGAAATATTTCGTCACTAAATGTTAAATATTTTGTCACCTATAACGTCCATTTCGTCACTAAAATTAAATAAAATTTTATTATATTTGTTTTGAGTGACAAAATATTTCGTCATTAAAAATAGCGATAAAATTTTTAGTGACAAAAATATCGTCACCAAAAGATGAAAAAAAAAGACCCTTCACAAATATTCTAATTTAGTGATGAAATAGTGAATATGTGTGGCGAAATTATTTGTTGGGATTAGAAAGTTTTAGTGTCAATTTTTTTTCGTCGCCAATAATAAATAAATTTTAAAAATTGAGGAGAGGGTTATATTTGCAATTTATATATTTTTTTCAATAAACAATACCTGTACATTTTGATAATCTATTAAATAAAATATTTAACACAAATCAATATAAAATTAAACTGTTCATTATCATAAAACAACCCCAACAAAATACATGTCTCATAATATCAAGAAATTAATATATAACATCCAAACTATAACATCTATTCTAATAAAATCAAAAACTACAACACAATCAAAATAACTAGGGCATTTTAATAACCTGCTGAATATAATATCCATTACAAATCATTACAAAAACCAGTTCATTTGGTAACATCAACAAAAACCTGTTCATTTTAATCTATTCAATAAAATATCAACAAAAAGATAAGATCCACGTAACAGCAACCAACTGTGATATATACATTTTTCAGCATAAGACAAGTCTTACTACAATGGGCACATCACATCGGACATAAAGTTTAAACTACTAAACCAAATTATTCTAAAATATGTATTATAAATGGGGCACTCATGTCACAATTCAGACACCTACTAGTTCATATTACTTATGCCTATCAAGCTTTGAAATATAATTAAACTAAACTGAAAATTTGGGTGTTGAAAATCATAACAACTCTAGCATTGCTAATTAAATAAGGCATGGCTCAACCGGTTGTATTAGAAGCAAACACCACTACCTTCCTTATTTCCATTTTATTTTAATGAACAGTTTCCTACTGGAGTAAAAATGAAATGATTGTTCACAGCAATTACAAAAAGTTCTTCCTCATTGTTCAGATCTGAATACTAACTGATTCTAAACAAAGGCATAAAAAGAAGTAAGCATCATATGAATGGAAAGATGATAGGCAGTAGTATTCACAATTTATGGCCTTATCTAGTCACCATAAATAGGCATAACTTCGAGTATTCAGACAGCAAACTTGAGCCAATTTCCTAGAGGCTTATCCAACTTGAGGATGCCTTTTTATATTCACATGATATACAGCAAATGTGAATCCTCTTGAAATTAATAATTAGCATAATTAATTTCACCAACAAAATAAATTGTTGAAACTAACGCAGGTCAGTATCCAATATATTCAAGCTTACATTGAGATGAGCATTCTACATACGAAGCCTTAGTAAAAACAAACCCAAAAAGGAGGATTATGAAGAGGACATGGTTTTTTTGACCTGCATTAAAAGGATATCAATGTCACATCCACAAAGACAGCAAGACCCATTGTTGTACCAAATCCAAGACTAGTTTAATAAGAACGAAAAACACAGCAGTTTTTGTTGTCTGGAGTAGTTAAAAATGTAAAGAACTATAACCCGCATGTTTTCATTACCTATACAGTTTCCAAAAGCAGGACAATGATGGTCGAACCCCTTTACATATGCCTTGCAGTGCCTACAATATCTGACTCTCTGAAGTGGAATAGAATTCTGTGATAGCATAAATACTGAAGACTTCAGGATACATAAGATTTCAATGATAAAGAAGTAAATGCAGTGCTAAGATTTTGTGGCTAAACAGAAATTTAACATGGATAGAAAGCTGAGATATTTTCAATCAATAATGATTTGCTATGATGAAACGCAACAGAATTTAAGATAGTTCAACACATATTGCCACCAGATTACGTTTAAAGCCTTCGGCTTTTCACTATGGAATCCAGATTCCAAAAAATCAAAGACCAGAAATCCAGGATCATTGTAAGCTATGAAATATAGACCCGATAATTAAAGTTTCAGTTGATATTCATAGTTCCTTGCAATCACATCTGACTACCTAGTATGTATTAAATCAAGATAATATTTGAGAAGCAAAACATGAAACAAAACTAGCAAAGCTACCAAAGCCAATTTTGAAAACTAAAATTCAAAGGATAAATTAAATGTGATCGCAAAACTCAGTGGTATTTAATGCTGTAACCGATGAAATCACCGGAATCAGCTTACTTCTTCAGCAACAAACTCATAGGGAATGTCACGAGTTGAAGGCACCAGTTCCTGCTCCAGAAGATAATTTCAATATCTGTGTTAATCATATGATTCATATCTAATTGGAGGGGCTTCTCAACATTTTTCAACCTCAGAATGGGCTTCAAATACTGAGACAGGACTCTCAACAAGCTGGTTATGATGGGAAGATTCATTTGTAACATAACCAGGGTCTGTTGTCAGGATACTGGCACCAAGAAACACATAGTTAGGATAATGAATAAATGATTGAAATTTCATTCTTTCAAACCTTAAATCTAGATTTTGTACGAACAAATTAGTTCAATCAATTTTTGAGTGTAGAAACAATAATCTGACCTGCATAGACCAATCACGAGCATAAAGAACTCTGCGTTGAGTATAACGTCTAGCAAAGGTGAAATGACTGAAAAAAAGATAATTTTTTTAAGGATGTCAGGATTCCATACAAGTCACAATTTGGAAAAAGTAGATACATATCGATGATGAGCAACCAATAATCCATCTCTATCCAACTAAAATTTGAGCATTCTCACATAATTTATTATCTGGTTGGAAAAAATATATTACTCACTCCTTTACAGAGAAATGAACAAACAAACAGAAAACACTGAGAAATTTTTATATGTTAATAGGGTACACGTAGCACTACCTTTTATCAATCAATCACAAATGTATACACCTTCATTTTTCCTCAACCATCCAACATAAATGTAATGACCCTACTGTCAAATTCAAAATAGTAGAAACTACACGTGGCATCTACACCCAAAAATCCCTTAAAAACACCATGTATATGATGAATAAATAAACCATCTCCGACTGTTGAAAAAACCCACCACTCGAATCCCATTGCATGCAGAACCCAGACTTTAAAATTCGTAGAATAATCAAACAGTGAATCATATTGAGGATACAAATTAGAGACTAGAGAGAGAGAGATTACTGAGAAGAAAGAGGGACCTTGTCGAACCAATCCAATATAAACGCCCCAAATGAATATAATATTGAAGAAAACGAAAGCCGGCGCTGATTCTCCCACTCCTACAAGTCTCTTGCAGTATCTCCCAACACTTGTCACTCCCAATAGTGCTACAGCTGCAACAAAAGAAACCACTTTAACCACATATTCATATATATATATATAGAGAGAGAGAGAGGACCTGAGGGTGAGAGGAGAGAGAGAGAAGGAAGGGAAGAAGGAAGGAAGCAAGAAGAGGGATAGTTGAGTTAGGGATGAAGAGACAAATGTTATCAAACAACGACCAATCGAATTGGACGAAGCTACTCTTCAAATCATAGAGGCTCAGGAATTCCGAAATTTTCATTTATTTTTCTTTCTATACCAAACACAAACTTACAGAAATCGGAGTATCTACTTTTTCATTCAGAAATGAAATCCCTCATAACAGGAATTTTTTTTTCTTCCCATTTAAACATTCATAGCAAGTAGCCAAGTCAAACACTAACCCCAAATTAAAAAGCCCCAAATTTTGAAATTGAAAAACCCTAAGCTCTAATTTTCAAATTGAAAAGCCTCAAATCAAAACTCAAAACCCTAGTATTTAAACATGCACCTGAAATTGGACGGTGGGAGGGAGAGGTGCGAGAGCTCCGATCCGAGGGAGAGGTGAGACGGCTCCGTTTGCTTCGTTCGCGGGTCTTCGTCGACCGGAGGGAGAAGCGAAGACGAACCAGGCTGCTAAGGAGGTAGCTACGAAGGACTGCTCGAGCAACGCAATGGCCGTCACGAGTGAAACAATGGCTGTTACTCCGAAGGACTACTCTTCCCTCCGCCTCTATTCATGGTCTCTTTTCCCTCCATCTCTTCTTCGTCTTCTCTCTCTCTCTCTCTCTCGAACACATCTCCGTTGTCTTTCTCTATTTTTCCCTTTTTCTTTTTTTTGGGACCAGGGAGTAGAAATTTGGACAAAATTTTATGAGGAAATTTTAATTGTGGCAAAATTTTGAAAGGCTTTTTTCAAATATTGAGAAAAAATTTGAGGCAAAATTTTGTAGTAAAAATTGATTTTAATTTATATTTTTTTAAGTTTTATTATTTATGTTTGTAATTTTACCTTTATTAAGGTTTAATTAATATTTTGAATGAAAATAAATAAATTTAAGAAATTTTATGATTTTAATCAGTAAATAATAATTCTATTAAAAAATAATTATTATTATGTTCTTAATAATTTATTATTTAATTATTAATATTTTTTTTTGAACTGATTATTAATAGTTATTTTAAATCGTAACAAATTTAATTAATATTAGGAAACATTCAAAACTACGTAGTTTTGATACAAAATATGACATTTTTCTTTCTATGAACACAATTTATTAGTCACCAAAGGTTTTGAGATCCCATTTTTTTTTCCCCTCTCTCGCTATTACTTTCCATGATCATAATTTTTTTTTGGTCCCAAAAAATTACCTATTAGCTACCAAAATGTCGTTGGTCGCAAAAAACACAACTCATTAGTGACCAAAAAAATGTTAGTCGCAAAAAGTTAACTATCTACGACCAACTCAAATATGATGGTCGCCAAAAGTGTTTTTTCTTGTAGTGAAATTAGGATAAAAAAATGTGTTATGAAAGTGAGACGAAAAGGAGGATAGCAAGATAGAGAAGCGGGGTGACGGAGGTTGGAAAAGCGAGAAGAGGGGTGACGGAGCTCAGAAAAACGAGAAAAGGGTAGGGCGAGAGAGAGTGAGGCGAAAATAGGAAAGGAGAGGGAGAGAGAGAGAGAGATACCTTTTGTAGCGAGCGCCAGTCGGCGACGTGCGAGTTAGCCGGTACGACATAGATGGACGAACGGTGTGACGGTGATGAATGGGTGAGGGGGTGACAAAGAGAGATATAGAAAGTAAAATACATGCATCTAAACAGAAAGATATCTATCTCTTGGTTCAATTTTATTTTTTATTGATTTTAAGCATTTGGTGACGAAATTTGGTTTTCCTTTCTAAAAATAATACATTTGGAGATGAAATTGTTTCCTCTCTAAAATTGTTTTACAATGGTGACGAAAAATTTCGTCTCCAAAATGGCGCCAAATTTTTCCTGGGTGAGAAACTGTTTTGTGACGAAAAATAAAATTTAGAGACGAATAAATTTTTTCTCACCAATTTTTTTATTTGATTTTAAGCATTTGGTGACGAAATTTGGTTTTCGTCTCTAAAAATAGTACAATTAGAGGCAAAATCTTATTTTCATCACTAAAACATGTATATTTGGAGACGAAATATTTTTTCGTCATGCGTTTTCGTCACCATAGACCTTTTTTGTTGTAGTGTCAGTCTGGCTGAGACTACGTTTTACTCAGTCTGGCTAAGCTCTTCATGCTCAGTCTGGCTGAGACTTGGAGGGCTTAGTTTAGCTGAGAATTGCCCAAAACTTGACATTGAAGAACAACACATATAATGGAGATGTTAAATTGTTGTCATTAAGGCACAGTCTGCTGATCAAAAATTTACACCGTGTATGGAAAGGACAAAAATGAACAAGTGTTTAGATCAACAAAACAAAACATACAACAATTGAATGGTACAAAAGTGGGAGACGCCATTTTACTGAAAATAGTGTTTCAAGTGCTCAGTATTCCACGGATGGAGGAGGTCTCGGCCTTCCATATCTTGGAGACGGTAAGTACCAGGGCGGGGTCTGGCCTTGACAACGTAAGGTCCTTCCCATTTGGCTGTTAGCTTGCCCTCGGTTGGATTTTTAGTGGCAAGGGTTGCTTCGCGCAAGACTAGGTCTCCTACTATGAACTCCCGAGGTCGGACTCTGCGGTTATAATGTGTTCTCATTCTCTTCTAATATGATGCCCGCCTGACAGTAGTTGCCTCTCGGAGCTCTTTAACTAGGTCCAGATTAGCCTGATGGAACTTTTCGTTTAGTTCTGGATTTGGATGTAGAACCCGGGGGGTCGGCAGGCCGATTTTCACTGGGATGACCGCCTCGGCGCCATATGTTAGGCAAAAAGGAGTCTCCCCAGTGGGGGTTCGAGCTGTCGTCCGATAAGCCTAGAGTACGTTTGGTAATTCCTAAGCCTAGAGTCCTTTGGCAGCTTTCAACTTAGTCTTGATGATTTTCAGAAGGAAGCGATTGGTGACTTCGACTTACCCATTAGCTTGGGGTGGCCTGGGGAAGAGAAACATGGTCTAATGTTGAGCTCTTCACAGAATTTCCTAAACTTGGCATTGTCGAATTATTTTCCGTTGTCCCAGATAATGGCTTGGGGGATTCCAAATTGGCACTCGATTGACTGCCAGATAAACCTGGTGGTGTTTCGCTCAGTAA